TGTGTGTGTGTGTGTGTGTGTGTGTGTGTGTGTGTGTGTGTGTGTGTTGGGTGTGGAGGGTTATCATGTCATGTTATTTCAGTCAGACATCAGTAGATGTAAATGATCTCACCCATTTAACTACAAGTCATTATTGAAATAAATTACAATCACATGACTCACTGAAGATGGTTAATTTATAAATATTGTAATTTTCTTCATAAATATTACTGTTTAGCTTGACTAATAATAAGTGACCATAATAAATGCTGCAATGATTAAAAACATTTCATCTGCTAAACAGTACAGCTTCAGCAGGAAGTCGTTGTGAAGTTAAATCCATAATTTGTTATGGTCAGATTATTTTTATGGATTGATATTTTCAAGAAATTTGGGCCGTTACGTTCCTTCCTAATCTGAGTTTTTATTTCAAGATTTATTATTTTTTTAAACTTTTGTTAAACTTTAAAGACTCAGGGAAAAAGAGTTTCCCTGATGATTTTTAGAAAATAATCCTGTAGATCCAACTGTGACGTTGGAAAATATTCAGCTTCATAACTCCGTCTGCCTTTTGTCGCTCTGAGTTGAAATATTTTTTTAATTGGAGACGGGACATTCAATCAACATTAGAGCCACTCAACATATTCAATCATCAGAGAGTGAAAGTAAAGTATGGACATCTGGTTATTTCATCCCACAAATTATCCTAATCAAACAGAACATGTGCTCTGTTTTGGGGCTATCTTGAGTGGAGAGTGGTGTAATTGAATGATTAAATGTGTAAATCCTCACACACAGAAAGGCGGAACCAAGTTCTGCGATTGAGGTTGTTAATACAAAATGTGAGTTCTGTTGAGCTTGTAGTTTGATTTGTCAGCTGGAGATGAAATGCTTCGATGCACTGTAACGTGTTAAACGTGTTCTCTAAACACATTTACCTGTGCAACAGCTTTGTTTTCCTTCAATCAGGCAATTTACCTGGTCACAAAATGTCTGTTATTACCGAAAATAAAACATGACTGCTGCATATAAAATAAAAATACATTTTTTCTATTTGGTTAAATTTAACAGTTTGACCGAATGCTAAAGCCCAACTGATATGGAAATTTTTTCTATGGCCGATGCCAATATTGGGAGGGAACGGTGACCCCCGATAACAGATATAATGGCTGAAATTTTTTTTAGCTTTGTCCACCTCCAAGAATCTAAGAAAACAGTGAATGGAGCGGGGCTTGTTTATTTAGCGTGACTGTTAGCAACCATGAAGCTAAGCAAATCATATCTGTGCTATATGTAGTCCCACAGTAGGTTTACAAGTGGTGCACTGGTTATAAACAGTCTTCCTAACGTGCATTCACATTTTCTATCCTCCACTATTCATCCTAAAGTTATCAAGCGTGTTGCATAAATATAAATTAAACAAAGAAACGTCCTTCCCTGTTCATTGTTTAAACAGTCATTCACGTATGATGAAGGTCTAATTAGTATTGATTGTAGCAGCATTTATTTTTCTTATAAATCTTATAAATAACACCTTCACATAGTGGATCAACCAGTTTGATGGTGCTCAGGTGGTGTCTGGAGTCCCCCCCCCCCCCCCATGGTTTTTAGACAACCATCCAGATGACCTGACTTAACTTTGTTGTGTTCCTGGATAAAGTTTTACAAGGCAATCGCCTATGCTAGGTTATCTAAATGTTAGCTTGCTAACTGGAGAGGCACATAGCTAATAACAAGCAAATTGGAGG